TACTACGTATATATAAAAAACTATAATCAACAATTTAAAATGTATTGAAGTTACGGCAAAACCAAATATAGTAAGCATTTATTTGGCCTTCAAGGTTTTTGTTTAGATTTTAACAAAAACATTTTTTTTTTGCTATAAATTAAAAATGACAACTGAAGAATAATTTGCGGTTTTTAATATAAAATCAGTTATGTTGATTCATTAAATAAACAAAATTGCTTTTCACAATGCAATAATAAAAATGGCATTTTGACCTATTTATGTCAATTTTAATTTCCCACATTTGCCGTTACTCATACCACATGTTGGCCGAGCCATGTTTTATAGAAGAACGTGAAACAACGTTACTAAATGTGGATAATGTTAAGTAAATTGAGGCAAGGAGTATGTATGTATGATGACTTTGACGTTAATGAATAAATGCACACAAGATAGTGCAATGCACTCTTTTCAAATTAGCGACAACGCACAGCAGTAAAGAGAAACGGAATATTATGGACGAATAGGAAAAGGAAGAATAGTACAGAAGCACTGCGATGGCAATGGTAAAACGTGCCAAACTGGAACGTTAATTCAAAACCAAAATATAAAGCATAAAATATATAGCCGTGCAGCATAGCAAAACACAGCAGGATACAGGACACTAAAGAATTTATGCAAATTGGTGAAATTGCATTTTTGTGGCTAACATGGACGCCCTCGCTGCAGTACAGTTCTCCAGAACACTTACTCGTTTGATAGTGACTTGTTGGCCACAATTCGCAGCTATTGACAGTTCAAAAACTACATAAAGTAATAGCCTTGTTGCTGTAGTTGTTGCATTAATGTTCCATTGACAGTAATAAAAACGGAAACTGCATTCACAAAGCAGCTGTAGTCACATCCGCAATGGCATTTGTCATTGCGCCATGTTCATGTATGTAGCTGTCATTTGTTACAGTAAGTATGTGTATGTGTATGTGTATGCGTATGTGCATGTAAAACAAAGTGTAAAGTCACCAACTTTTACCTCTCAATTTTCGCGTGGCCAACTAAAATCATTTTTCGTTTAGACATCAACTCAATTTGTTCATATGTTCGCATATTTGGCGCTACCCTCGTTTGTCGTTTGTCGCTGGTTGTTTGTTCGCTTGTTGCTGGCTATTTGCGTTGTCACTATGTTTGCTGATTACTGGCAGCCAACTTCGCTATGTTTGTGCGGCGTCCTTTGCATACATAATGAAGTTGGCGCTACTTTTCTACTTTTCTACCTTGTTTTTTTGTTTTTTATTTCTTTGTTGATTTTCTCTTTAACGGAAATTGGTCATGTTTCACCTATTTTTTTTTTGCTATAGAAAAGCGTTGTTGCGTTATTACGTTATTGCGTTGCGGTTGCATTTTGTATTACGTTTCACGTATGTAGAACACGCATTTGTCCGCAGTTTGGCAAGAAATGATAGTGCTGCCAAGTTGTTGCAAAATACTTAAATTGCACATTGCATGTGCAGTATCGTTTGGCAATTCCATTTACATTTTAGTTTGTGTGTAATTTTATGCTTACGGAAAGTTCATAGTTGTGCAATTGAAGTGTAGTTTACACAACGTAAAGTGCGACACATAATTTTACCTTTATGAAGCCGAATTTATTACAAATTTCGTATGTACATTCAATTTACATACATTTCTTGCACAAATGCGTATGGCATTTGACATATCCTTGTTATTATGTTGTTAAAAAGTAATTATTATTAGAGTTCTCTAAAGATAAATTGGCAACAAATTTAATTTGTTTTTGATTTACTTTTGTGTGAATTGATTATAAAGTATATTTTGAGTTATACAGATATAAATTGTTGATTAGCAGATATCATACATTATGTGGGTTAAGTTGGAATACAAAAAATATCCTAAGAATTATTACGGGATTATTGACCGGTGACTGTAGATTGAATAATCACCTATTGAAATTAGGTATTCAATTTAACTCACACTGCAGATACTGTTGAGAAGAGAGAGAAATTGCATACTATGTGGTTGAGGATTGCCTGGCACTGATACACAAGCGGAAGAAATACCTAGGAGGGTATTTCGTGGATCATAAAAATCCAAAACTAGGAAAGATAGACTTTATATTCTCGTTCATTATAGAAATCGGACTTGGAGCAACACTCTAATCCAACCAAGGAACACAATATATCCTTTAGGTCGCAGCGCACTATTCTTGTTTTTAATAATAATAATAATTGGTTAGAATACAACTGCGAATTTTAATATCTATGTTCGCATAGATTTTAAACCTAACATCCAAAAATTATATAAAACCAATTATAAAGTTTAAGATGCACGCCAAAAAATGTGCAGTTTTTGAATGTCTCGCATCTTTAAATCCGATGACGACGTAGTTCAATACTTTTCTACACTTCAATACTTTTCATACGGATAACTTCGGTAATTGTAGGGCAGATCAGCTAGCCAAATGGACTGCTATAGGTATTCATTCGGAATACCTAAAAAATTTGGCATATTGTTGATATCATGCAAACATTTGTTGAATGCTTTCTGTACTGATTAGTTTAATAAAACGTTGGAAGACTCAATTTATATGCAGATATTAATATGCAAGTTGGGCTATTAAGTTCTATTAAAAATGAGCACTCTCATTGAGCTGTCTCATGAAGATATCTAAAGAGCATTTTCAGCTTTGCCAAAGGTTCTAGGTGATTTTAAAACCTCTGAGTTTTTTTAACATAAAGCTGCAATAGAAGTAAGTAAATCCTAAGAATTGCCGGTATAACTTAACCGAATTTAATATCTAGTATACCTATTAGTATATGTCCTTTTTTAAATCTTCGACACACATCTGATATGCGCCTTATAAATCAATTACAATTAGAACGGTTATCTAGAATCTACATTCTAAATTACAATTACCCTGTAATTAGTATTTGGGTGTAATTAATTACATTTAAAGTAATCAATACTGTTAGGATTTTGGTATGGCTTTGAGCTCTTTTAGCGATGCAACATTGGTTCTTTTGCTCACTGTCACTGGAATGATTGGGGTTTGGCTTTGATGTCATAAACATTTTTCCATGTTTCGTCAACAGTGACAACCTTTTTCAGTAAATTTGGATGGTCAGTTACAACATTCTCTCATCATTGTCTTAACTTATATTCATGCGATGGTTGTTACTAAATGTACAAAATTGCTAACAAATATATTAGAGGATATTTATACTAACATAAAAAAGAAACTCCAAAATTAAATTTAATATATTCACAAAATTTAATTAAAGCCTGTATATATAATTTTATTAATTTAAATATTGTAACTTGTTTTAAGTATCGTATTCCATCGCGTTTTTATATTTTTTTTTGGATTAAAAGAAAAGCAAAAAGAATTTAGAATTTTGTTTTAAAAATAAGTTATTGTATACGATCCATGCACACCTTCTGGAGAATTAACGAGAAGGATTTAAAATCGGGGAGTTCACTGTGAGAACTACTGATTTTAATTTATATTATGTTAAATTCTTTAGGATATTATTTAATTAACATTCTTCTAATTAAAAACGAAATAAAAAAAATTTCACTTATAATTAAAGTCATTGCTAGGAAATGGAAGATCCTTTGCAATAGCAATAGTCTGTTTTTATTTTGTAATTGATTTTAAAACTAATTTTTTATTTTATTTTCATTTCTTAAAAAGTAACACAAACAGAAAAACTTCCTCTTCTTCGTCGCTTTTAAGTAATTTTATATTTCAATTAAACTTTTTTCGAAATGTAGAGTAAACAAAGTCTCATAGGACAAAATTGAAAACTTTATTTGGCCCACTGAAGGCACTATACATAGTTTACCTTTGCGTTTATATGCAAAGGATTTAAAAGTTTCTTAAATAAAGTGACAAATACATTTATTGCCTTTTGTTTGTGTATAAAGTTCTGTCTTTCATGTCCTTACCGTTTTTTTCCTCTTGAATTTCCAAATTTATCTGTAAATGTTTGCAACTTTTCACATAAAGAGCAAAATTTTAATTTAACAGCTTAGCAAGCAGATAAATTAAATAAAATAATGCAAAGAGGCAAAGTAGATAGAAGTAAACTTCAAAATAATCAACATAATTTTTATTTACAAAATTAAGGACACTTGTCGCTTGGCGGACTCTTCACCAACAACAAGTGCGCTCGGATGAACAAAATGAAATTGGACAGAAGGGCAACTGTGTTCCCAAATGTGCTCGTAAAAGTTAAATATAATCGAATTTTGTACATGCACATGCACATAAATTCCATAAAAGCCAACGGACAAACGCACAAACGCACAAACGCGTAAACGGAAAAACGGACAAACTGACAACTCCAAATTTATATCAAGCTAAGCTTTATTGTGCATACTTTTAAAGTCAACAAAAACTGGAAGACTGCTATGATGAGTTTATATATTCCTTAACTCAATTATACGCAGGGGAATATTGCTAGCAGTATATGGACTTTACGAGACTGTGTTTATTTCGATATCTGTATATATGCAGTGTTATTGTACTTATATGGGAAGTGCGGTCATTGGCGTTTATAAAAAGCAGAAACGATGCGTCTGCTATATACTATGTAGTATATTTTGTATCTGCAGCAGTCAACACATCATTTTATCTAACTTGGATCCCACAATATTCTTTGTGAAAATATTTATCATATATGTGTTGTTTAGTGTATGGACAGCATGTTTATGCTGTCTACAAGCACATCCTTTTTGTCTGCATG